GCTATTATCATAGAGTTTTTTAAACTTGAACATTTTTTAATATAGATTTTTTCATGATTTAATAAATTACCATTCATAAACTTTCGTTATTAATAATATTTATAGAGTGGTTTAATTTAATTATATAGCATAAAATTATCAGATTTCTTGGTATCTTAACCTCCTGTTCAAGACCCCAGAAAGTGCAACAAGTGCTCTTGACAGCATTCTTTTGTAATTAAGAAGCCATAATTTAGCCCGATTAAAATCCTGCGGTATCGTTTGTTTATTTTACATATTAATTTATTCAAGATAATGTTTTACTCACTAGCTGGATGCTTAAACGGTGGGACATGTGATCTTGATGAAGTAGACTGCATCTGTCGAAGAGGATTTACGGGACAGTTTTGTGAAACTAATATAGATGACTGCGCAGCTGACCTCTGCCAAGTTAATGCTATGTGTTTTGATGGATTTTACGCAAGTTAAATTTTTATAATCTATAGATTATTGAAGTTTATAAGCATCTAAACGTTACAGAATTTATTTAGGACGTTAACTGTTGTTGCGACATTGATCATGTGGGAAAATATTGTAAAAACGAGAAAAGATGTAATAACGAATTATGCAATAATAGAGGAAAATGCATTGTAAGGAATAACACAGAAATATGCAGATGTTTAAAATTATATAAAGGCAAATATTGCGAAATAGAAATTAAAAATTGTTCAGTTAACCATTGTAAAAATGGAGGTTTGTGTGTGCCTGCATATCCGAAAAATATTTGTCGATGTCCGCCATCACATAAAGGAAACGATTGTTCAGAAGGTAGTTTAAAAGTGTTTTATTTCAATTAAGAATTCTAATCGTAGCGAAATAAATTGTCAATTAATTAGTAGTGTTTAAAAATGGATTTCTAAATCTGTAGTGATGATTTGTTTACTTTCAGAGAGATATTTCATGTACGCACTCAACTTTCAAAAAAATATTACTACCGAATATTCAATGGTAGTCAATAGCCGTTTACTTGAAGAAGTTACTTTTGCATTTTGGATGAAAGTTTCGACTCTTCAGCAAAGAGGAACGTTGTTTTCATATTCGTACTTAGATCCAATTAAATACCAAGATGAACTGCACGGGTTTGGCTTAAGCGATACTTCATACTTAAAGTTATATATGTTTGGAAAGAAATATCTTTTAGAAATTAAACCCAATACGTGAGCATTTAATATTTTCTATTTATATTTTTAGTAAAATCTTTTATATTAATTTACTTTGTACATATATTATCTTAAACAATGGGTACAAAATTTAGAAATTGGCATCATTTCGCGGTAACATGGAAGAGTGATTCTGGAGAAGCGTCAGTTTATTGGGATGGAAAACTAAATCGCATCATAAATAACGTGAGAAGAGGTAGACTTTTATGGAATGGTGTTCTAGTGCTTGGACAAGAACAAGTTGCACTCGGGGAAGTTTCCTTTATAGGACATTTTTCTAAAGCGGAAACATATTTAGGAAAGATAATTGAAGTAAATTTTACTTAATTCTCTTTATAATATTTTTATTTAAACTTTAATGAAAGAATGCATTCATCAAGAAACGTCCCGTGAATTTATGTATTGTAGGAATTATCAAAAATAATTAACATCACTGTGAATTTGAATCCTGTTTATAACTTAGCATAGCATATATAGTACTGGTTAGAGATTAATGGATTAGGTCTATTCATACAGGACATAATTATGTATGACCTTAAATATTATGTAGTCTTAATATGTGTCTTACATTAACGCTACTCTATATTTAGAGCATTTAGAGGAAATTTAGAGTACTGGTATTTTAAATACTAGAGAGGTTGCGGCCGAAGTTTTCATCT